CCCAGCACCCAGGAGGCTGAAGCAGGAGGATCACTGTGAGTTCAAGGCCAGCCTGCACTACGTAGTTGAGTTTAAGGCCAGTATGAACCACTTAGCGAGACCCTGTCTCAAAAGAAAACTTTTAAAAATTTAACCATTCATTAAATGTGGACCGTTTATGGGTTTCCTTTTAAGAGCAAAATATACTGACTAGAGAATTAGATTTAAATCCTTGGAACTTCCAGGCAAATTATCCATTACAATACACACAAAAAGCACAAACTTGAGACACCAATATCAACAAAGTTTCATACATTAAAAGTTAAAAATCTAGACTCGCAACTACCTTTGGATCTTATAACTCAAGTCAAAGAAGTACACACGACTTGTTTACTTTGAACTCTCTCTATAGTCCTAAAGGAGTCTAAAGGAGCCTTAAAGAACTGTTTAAAAATAACTAGGAGGGCCAGATTCTGGGAGAAAACTACGCAGAACATATAGATGAATCTGTTTCCCTAAATTGGCTGCTTTAGTTTTGGCTGTACTATTTCCTGCTCAAATTGGTTTCCTGCAATTTGTTAAGGCTGCCAAATACTTAGTGATCTCAGTGATATACTTAACAAAAATCAGATCTTTGCTATTTTTCACAGTGACAAAGGAGTTCACAGAGAAACTTGCACAATGAGGTTAACAATAAAAGTGAGTTAATTTGTCTTTTTTCTATATTTATCATTTTCATCTGACTACTTGTGATTCAGGAAAACAATAAATAGCCTCCAAACATAATTTCCTGCCTGGTCCTTTTCATAAGTGATTTGGGATGCTTCTTTACCACCAGGCAAGGTAAAGCTTGAGCAAGCTGACCTCACCCTAATTCAGAAAAATTAAAACATCAGAGTGGAAAGAAAAAAATCAATACTCAACAATGGTTTTCAAAATCAAAAGATGCAAGATGTTAATCAAAAGGTAAGTTTATGATTATAGTTATATACAATGCCATTTCTTTATGGCTTACAATGCCAACCTAAAAAAATTATCTGGTACAAAAGCAAACCTATATAGCTGATAACACAGCAAGGAATTTGAGGCAGCGAGGACACAGTTAAGTTCTTTAGAGCACATTCATTTATTAAAGTGGCATTACAATCTGCTGTATGTCACATAGTATATTATTTTGCCCAAACAGCTTTACATGCAAATACTTATTGCAACGAGTCACTGATCTGGTTCAAGGTTTGGCAAAAAAATTAGTTTCAGTAAAGTCTTCAGAGGAACTCACTCTCCTAAAGTATAAATTGTATTTCTCAAAACTATATATGTGACAAGATTTAGTTGCTACATTCAAAAATTCTAGGCCTCTCAGTGCATCAGATATACTGCCCTATATTCACACACATGAATAACCAAGGGCAGGTAAGAATAAGAGTCCCAGCAGAAAGAATTTTAGTAAATATTAAAAACAACTCACATTTAATATATAATTTACTTGACACTGAAAAATGTAGAAAAGGCAGGTGACATTTTTATCAATACATTTTTGTAGACTTGAAAAATTATTTCATAACACATCTACATTATAAGTCATAAGAAATCCATTACTGAGTATTAACTAGGAATTAAAATCCCTAAATGAAACATAGAAGAGAACAGAAAGTTTGAAGCTTTCTACTTTTATCAATATATTTATTCTAAAAAGAATAAATCTTTGCCAATATACACAATCATAGTCTAACAGCATTCTTAACCTAAAGGCAACAGCATTTCAAAACAGTATGCCAATCTTAGTTTTTATCTTGGCTTAGGTTGGAATGGGTAAGGGAAGCCTTGCTGAGATTTTTTTATATAAACATAGCACATGGGGCTACAAAAATGATCCAACTCCTCCAAGTCTAAGGTGTCAGTACCCCCAACATATTCATAACACACAGGCTGAGAAGCTGTGCCAAAGATCAAGTTAATATATACCATGTCCCAGGGGAGCACTCCCAGAAGTTCTCATCTGCCATTAGTACTAGGGCACTGGGATGTAGAAGGGAAGCAAATAAGATTCACAAGCACAAACGTACACAGCCATTGAGCTCCATTACCTCAGTCACCATATCATTAAAACTATCTGATGAGGCTCAGAATGCCAGCACTGGTGTATTCTAGACCAGAGCCATGCAGTAGAAATGTTCTGTATCTGTGCTTTCCACTGTGGTGGCCATGACAGACATGCAGTTACTAAGCATGAAATCTGGCCCGTTATAGTGAGAAAAGAACACTTTTATTTTACTAATTTTTATGTGACTTCTAATAGTCACATGTGACAAGTGGCTACCATTTAGAGAGTATAATCTTAGCCTGACCACCAAAACATAAGGAGCATTCTAGGATTTCCAGTGCCTAGGCTGTCACATGGACCGAAGAGTCTGTCGGCCATGTCAACCTGGAATGGGAAGGGATGGATCCAGAGCACACTGTGCCATCAGTATAATGCTCTGCAGGCCACATATACCATAGGATCTACCAACCTGCACTTACACTAAGTATCAGCTTAAGAAACCAACCCAAAAAAGAAAACAAAATCTCCTTCATTTACTGTTGCATGATAGTCAGTATGTGAAAAAGCTAGAAGCAACAAGCATGTATAGACAGAAAGTTCTTTCCTAAGTTCAAGCAGCACATCACTACAAGGCAGCTCCTCTCTTCTGACTAGTTTCTAGCACATCCTTTCTACAAATGAAGCAGTGTCATTCAAATTACAGTAAAACACAATGATTAACAGCATTTGCTCTGGAGTCTTCAGACAGATGTGAATCTAATTCTCACCTCTTTGCTCACCACCTGTGTGACTTTAGGCAAAATAATTAATCCCTTCAAGTCTTAGTTACCTTCTACATAAGATGGGTTAACAACAGTCCCTCTCTCATAGGGTTATAAATGAGATAAGAAATATCTAAATGATTTAACAGAACACCTGCACATACTAAACATTATTTAAGTTTTATCTATTATTATGTAATCACTATTTGTTCTTCATCATCATCCTATCTTCTTAGCAGAGTAGGTAGAAAAATAATCTACCTTGAACAAATTATATTTTAGAATATCAATTTTAGAATTATGCATACATCAAAAGGTATTCTTAATCCAAACTACTTGATATATGTAATTTCAATATCTACCGGGTTTCTTTTATACTATGATTTTACCTTCTTTATTAATATATATTTAGTTCTATCTGCACAAAATCTATAAACTCTTTGAAAGGGTAGATCTTTTTCTATTTTTGTGTCCTCTGGAAATAGCTCCAAATTTTATGTACAAAGTAGACATTCAACAAATGTGCTTAAATTCATAGCCTGGTCTGGTGGTGCACACCTGTAATCCCAGCACCTAGTGAGCTGAGATGGGAGGATCATGAGTTCAAGGGCATCTTGGGCTATAAAACAACTATGAGGCCAGCCTGAACTATACAGCAACAATAACACTGTCTTAACAATAACAATAAAATCACAAATAAATTTATGGAATTATATTCCAAAATGATCAAAAGTAGTTACTTTAAAATGGGTGAGGTATGTCCCATATTAATTCAACAAATAATAATGACTCACTAAGAAACAGGTGCTACCCTAGGAGCTGGTAATTCACCTGTGAAGAGACAAGGGACAAAGGCTGATGTGCTCATTTTCTGGTGAAGGTAGAGTCACAGTGGACAAGCAGAGGAAGGGTGGTAGGCCAGAATAAATGATGAGATGATGCTGAGAGGGCAGAGAGTGGCCACTCATGGTATGCCTCGGAGACCAAGAAAACCAGTTCAGATGACATTATGTGCAACATGGAAAGCCACAACTGGGGCAAGACATGAACAAATCAACTTTTTCAAAAACTGTGAGGGCCTTTGTGTGCACAGCACAGGAGGCAGTCAGGTGGCTCTAGTGAGGGACAGAAAGAGATGACGGCTATCCACACTGAAGCACAGAGACAGACCTGAAAAGATACAGTCTATTCAAACACATCTTGGAGATGGAGTTGACAAGACTAGCTAAGGCCAGCTGTAAGGAGTAAAGAAAAGACAAAACAAGAATGAATCTTTCTCAACTCTCTTACTAAACCAGTGGCTAAGAAAGGGCAAAAACTACTTCTTATTTATCTTGGCAATCTTTACTCCGAATAGATCAGAAGCTCAATTCAAGTTTACTGACTTAATGAGAGGAGAGGTCACAATCACCCCAATGAATGGCATCTGAGCAGCAGCATCTCATCTTTCTCAATTTCACCATCTGTAGCAAGATTTACCCCTTTCTAATATAGAAAAGTCTCAAATAGTGTAAAAGTGATCATCTTAGTTATTTGCTTGTTGCCTTTCACAATAAACTGCACACCCACCTACCACTTGGGCAGTACCAAGAACAGTACTGGACACACAGCAGGCACTCAGTAAGCACTTGTAGGATGAACAGATGGGTGGGTTGGGAAAGGAGAAAAAGAAGAGAAACAGTGTCAGGTCTTTCTTATCCAGCAGGACCTACTGATAAAACAAAGCTTCTTAATTCTCTATGGATTTCATTTAACACCTTATTTTTGTCAATAACTAAGATTGACTACAATGAAGTAAATATTTATAAACTTTATAAACTTTAAAAATTTTATTAGAAAATAACATTGTTTGAAATACTTAACAATTTAGAACAGTAAATCACTACTTTCTAAGTTGAAATTTTTATAAGTATTTACTCCTAAATATCCAATATCCTATTAGCAATCCATGTTACACTTAAAGATATGAAATCACCTTCTAATGACTAATAGAGGTTTAGGGGTTAGATAAGAAAACAAAATTCCCAAAGACTGCTTGAAAGTAAATTCATTTGCAGTGCCAAATTTTTTAAAAACCCTGATGATTTCTAACATTCCCTATAAAAAGCTGAATATCCAAAAAGTAGACAGAGGAAAGTAGAATTTGACTACTGAGCGAACATTTTCCACTTAAAAGTTTTCAATTAAAAACCCAGAAATTAAAATGCTTTTGATACCTGAGGCACCATAAATACCAGAATACCGCTGAGACTTCGAACCAGATGGAGAGGATTCCTTCATTCGATCAATCACATTTTCTGAAAGCTGAAAAAGCAACATCAAAATAAAATCAATGGTAAAAGAACAAGACAGAAAAACAGTGCAATAACATCCATACATCTTTTACATCAATATGTATAACAAATAGCCTACAGAAAAGTGGGCTAAATCTAATAACCATAAAACCAGTTGTGAGTTAGAGAATAGTTTTAAAAATTCAAGATACATAACACTACTCCTTTATTTCTTCTAATACACTGCTAATTGCTCATTATAAATAACTTTTCTCCTTGTTTTACGCTGTGTACTGAATTGTAATCTCAGAGAAAATGTAAGCCATCAGAATTCCTTTTCTCCCCTAATCCTACAAATGTACTTATGTATTAACGAGCCTTAGCTCCTCCCTTCCCAATGGTCCCAAGAAAACAGTGTTCCTTCCTCCCTTACTCCCTCCTGTTCAAGATTAACCACATACAATCACTCTTTCAACAGATTTGTTTTTTAGGTACTATGCACCAGGAAGTAGGCACACTTCGAGAATTTACAAAGTTATCAAGTTACTTAAAGTGAAGTGGAATGTACAGATAACTGTCAGGCATTCAAATATAATGTGAAGGGCATGACTTGAATCTGCTAGCTTGTACCGGAAATGAGGATAGTGCTAGAGTGGAGGGTCAGGAAAGACCTACAACAGAAGGATGTAGACAGGATAGGAAGAGAATGGGCCAGGAAGAGGGAATCACTTTAAACATACATGAGAAATGGGTTTGCCACCCTGGACATCCAAATGGACATATCATGTAGTCAGCTAGCAATAGGGCAGAGATTCTGAGGAACACCTGTGCCTGGAGATCTGAGTCATCAGTTCTACAGTTGCTACTGTGTCATTCTTTTTATTCTTCTGATCGTAGTTACCACTATCTGATGTTTCTTGTTTATTGTCTGACTTTCACATTAGAGAGAAAGCTTCATGAAAGCAAGGAGTTGGTGCCCTATCACCATATACTCAGAGCCTTAAAAAGCCTGGTTAATACAATTGTTAGACAGATGAACAAAATGGCATGAATAAACAAATGGCTGAAGCGGAAAAAGGGGGCATAGTGAAAGAGAGGGAAAGTAGAGATTTACGATTTTAAAAACTCTTACTAAACCCTTCAGTTTAAAGAATCTGAACCAGATCCACAGGGTAAACAGGCACTACTGAAAGATTAGATGCAGGGTAATGGCATGATGAGATTTACATTTCAGGAAGATGCTTTCGGTTAGAGTGTAAAGAACAGATTGGAAAGGGGTAAGAACAGAAGAAGACCCCTGAAGGTGGCTAAAGGACCAATTAAGAAGCTATTAAACATATGTCCACCTAAAAACTTGCACAGGAATGCTCATAGCAACATTATTCAAAATAGGAAGAGTAGAAACAAATAAATATCTATTTATTGGTGAATGGATAAATGAAACATTATGTATCTGTACAATGCAGTTCAGCAATAAATAATAATAATATTCTGATAAAACTACAATGCACAGGGACTTAAAATTAAGCTAAGTGAAAGAAGGCAAACATAAAAGGTCACAAATAATGTATGATTGTATTTATATGAAACATCCAGAAAAGGCAACACTATAGAAAGGGAATTGGTAAGCAGTTGTTACCAATACACTAACTACACTACACTAACCTAAGAGTTTCCCTCACTTAATCTTTAACAAGACTGGGAGATAAATTTTATTATCTCCAGTTTGTAGGAGAGGAGCCTGGAAACATAGTAAATACTCCTTGCCCTGGATCATACAATTTATCAGCACAGCCAGGACTCAAACCTAACAACTCAGGAATTCTGACTCAAAGCCAAAGTCCAACATCCCTTTTCCCTACCAAAAACAAAGAAAAGTCATCAAGGACAACCCCAGGGTTTCCATGTCAAGGAACTGGGTAGATTACCATCCTGAAGAGTCAAGGACCTTCTTCCAATTTCTACTTGCTCAACTAACTACTCCTGCCCTTTTACCAAGGACAGCTGTGCATGTATTCTTGTAAATACCAATGGTCAAATAAACAACCTTTATTATTCATCTTTGTATCAATGTATTTTATTATATTTATAAACCACCATATGTATATGGTTGTGGAACGCCCTCCCTCAACTTTTCTGACGTTCCACTGTGCTGGTTCTCTAAGGACTCTGGCCATGTCTGCTGCCTGCTCATATGTTAAAGGGCCCTACACGCTGTTCTTTCCCTCAGCCTGTCCTCATTCCATGTACTCTTGACACTCTCTTCCAATCCCTTGATTTTGAACTACTCCTGATAAATTAGTAAAATCTAAATCCAGTAACTCCAGCCCAGGACCTGTCCTTGGAAGACAGCCTTCCCACACACTCAGTTGTTTAATGAACATCTTCCCTTGGAGAGACCAGAAGCATCTCACACATGTCCAAAATTGAACTCATGCTTGCCAAAAATCTCTTCTTCCCTCTACTTCCTTACTTTGTAGAACTACTTCCACCCAGCTGCCTAAATCAGAAAATAAGATCTGCCAACTCCTCCTTTCTTTATTCTCTTGACCATGACTTCTCTTGACCATGACATAAATGTTAAATGAATTTATCATCCTATTTCTCCTCCCGTATTTTATGGTACAATGAATAATCCTCCGAAAATGCAAATCTGACATTGGTAACTCCCCAGTTTAAAGCCTTCAAAAGCTACTAGAAGTAGTAACACTTCATCTCTAGACCAATGTTTACTTTACCATTAAACACACTCATTCAATCCCACCTATATAATAAAAATGCATCATTCCTCTGAAAGAGATCAAATAAACCTTCATTTTAGAATTAGATCCTAAATGTTTAGAATTTAAATTTCCATATTAATCTCCACATAGATTAACTGTTGTAATTAATACAGTATATTAAGTTATATAATATGTAGCATATATATGAATTAAATGAGCTTATGTTTATTTTATACTTCATATTTATACTACATATTAATACTTAAAGTAGACTTCATAAAGTACATTAAATATGATATGTAAAGCTTAAGTGATATATAAACCTCATTTAACTAATATATATATAACATATATAATGTACTATATTGTTACAAAATTTTACATATATACTAGATTATGTATTATATACCATCACATTCACTATGTATAACATACTGTACACCATAATATACAAAAACTGTTACATATCCAATATCACTTCTATGAAGCAAATATATAAGTTAAGTTTCACATAATTCTTATACGTATAACTGTAATTTTATAATTTAGATTTCTGTATTTCAGGCCAAGGTCAAAGCACTACATTAAAAATATTCAATCAGAAAGTGAATGTTTGCTAAAAATCCAGTATTAGCTTCCAAATACCTCCATCTACTTCTCATCAAAATTCATACCTTGCTCCCATCTATGGGCACTACAAAAAGTCCTGCCAACTGCCAAAATATCATCCCTTGAGACAGTTTAAAAAAACGAAAAGGTGGCCTACAACAGATGATGAAGCTATGTAACCCTAGAGAAGTCACCCCAACAAGCCTCATTTCCCACATCTGAAAATAAAAATATTTACCTCCACAGGATACGAAGATTACAGTTACGCAGCATAAACCACAACTGGCAACACAGATACTTGGTAAAGCTGTTACTCATATAGCTCCAACCATGTGGACTTTGACCAGTTTTAATTTCTTCTTGGTTCATTCTCATTGAGCCTGAGCTTATATTGAGCTCCTTTTCTACGTGAAGACTAGGCCTACAACTATTACCTGTACCAGTCGTGTAAGTTCTGCTATGTATATACAGTACAAAGCATTCAATTATCTCCATGTTCTCAGGTAATAAAAGTGAAGTATCTTTTTCAACCTATCACTAATTACTTTTTACTAACGTTTCAATTCCTTTTGTGGTTTCTCACGTGCTTTAAAATTTGCTAGTTAGTGTCACACTCTAACATCAATGAAAACATTTCCCAATGCAATCTTTGGTTATACGGACTTCTGGACATTTATAAGCATGTCACCTTAAGGGGGACATGATAAACATATTGTAGGGTTGATAAATATATCATACAGTTGCCTTGAAAGTCAATCTTCTTTTGTTCTTGCAATCATTCCACAACTGTATCTTTAGGCCTTTCAAAAGAGCAGCAATGGCAGTCTATAGCTGTGACTGTGTCACCAAGCACTATCATCCTGTCCCCAGTCTGTCCCACACTATGGTGACTCAAGGCCATAGGCGTGCTGTGTTATGGTTTGTATATAAACTTCATGTTCTCTGAGCTGATGTTCCAGTTACTGCAGTAAGTACAGACCTGCAGGCTCACCTGATCTCCTCTAGAATAGGAGCACTCACTCACTTCTACAGTAGCTGACAAGATTTAGAGATCTGGGCCAAGGTTATACACAAAATCTGCAGAACACTTCACTTTGCTGTGATGAAAACTGACCCCCCAAAAAAGTCAAAGGTACAATGTAAGCCTCTGCAAGAACTGGCCAAGAGGCCCCTAAAGTTTTTCCCTATTTGCTGATCTATACCTACTCTACCTTCTCTCAAGCCATTGCAGGAACATCCCTCAAGGTAAATATCAAGTGAAATTTATAGAAGTCATTTATATCAAACAGCCATAAATAATCCTCATACACAGACTGACGCTAAGAATTGCACCAGAGGTCCATAGATTAATTCCTCGATTGTATGCAAAACTATCTGCTTACTATTTTGGTGGGACAGTGTATGTAGCTTAGAGATTCACAATGGTCTACAACAGCAGCAGCAAACACACAGCACTACTATTTTTCTTTTAAGACAAAAGATGCAAATGAATGAGTTGTTTTTTCAAAACTAAAACCTCAGTATTCAGGTTTAAGTGCAGTGTTGACACTTTGCAATAAATAAGTGGGTTTTAGGTTGCCATTTGGGCACTCATTCTCTAAAAGTTTTGCCATCACTGGTCTATAGTTCTCACCTCAAGGGCAATCATGGGACTCAGGCCTCACACCTGTAATCCCACTACTCAGGAGGCTAAGCAGATGGCAAGCTCAAAGTCAGCCTGGGAACTTAGCAAGAACCCATTTTAAAACAAAAAAACAAAGGACCTGGGAAACAGCTTAGTGATGGGGTGCCTACCTACAAGGACCTAGGCAATGGGTTCAACCCTTAGTTCCACAGAGGAGAAGCAGGCCTGCCACTCAAGATGGACCTTGCCCATCACCTGTTCCCTACTACTTCTAAAGATAAATTCAAGCAAGTGGAGCATGCTAAGTTTAACTTGGTGCTACTTACCACACCAGTGTACTCCAGAGAAGAGGATGTGTGTCATCATCCACTCTTCCCACTCATCTCTTCCCACCCACTTTGTTTGGTGTTACTGAAAATTAGCACAAACATACCACCCACCAATCCAGAATCCAGTATCTTCTCAGACACAGAAGACAGAGAGACAAGCCGGGCATGGTGGCACACACCTGTAATCCCAGCACTCAGGAGACTGAGACAGGAGGATCGGTGCGAGTTTGAGACCAGCCTGGGCTACAAAGTGAGCTCAAGGCCAGCCTGAACTGCATAGCAAGACCCTGTCTCAAAAAGACAAAAATAAATAAATAAATAATTTTTTTTTAAACTGCCAAAATCTCCCAAAGCATGAGATGTGTCCCATATAGGTATCCATGCTGCCATATCTGGCTCCTGTGAATTTCAGCTTATAACTTCAAGGCCAGTTGTAGAGATTCACTGATGCCTGGAAACATGATAATAAATATTACTTTGAAAATGATACACATTGAGGTTGACATTTGCTCTAGTAGAGTTCACTCACAGCTTTGATGTTTCAGATAAACTTGTGAAACTTTGAGTCATAAGTACTCTTTCAAAGCAGACACAGCAGGTGGTCACCAAAATCCTGGTAAGCACAAGTAATGTGAGTAATAAAAATACTTCGTTTATCACTAGAAATTTGTTTTAGACATACAGAGGCCAAAGCAAAAGGGTACTCTTTCATCTAACCCATATGGGTAGTGTCAGATTCAAAGGTGGGATCATGTATGAGAACATGGGTTATTTTATGGAACACAGGAAAAGGTAACAGTTGCTAAGGATAAAGGAAAAAGCAAGAACCTATCAATATTATGAAAATAACACCTGATAGGTGAGAAGCAACTTTAAACTTAAAAATTCTAAATAGGTCCTTTAATTGCTAGCTATTATGGACCTCAACAAGAAAAATATGAAAAAACATGATCTGTTCATAAATTCAGCCTAGTTACTGAACTTCTTTGCTCACTAAATGTTACTCTTTCTATACGAAGATAAATGAAGATGAAACTCGGAAAGACTGGGGAATAACACAGTCAGTTTGTAAAGAGTGACTTTATTTTGGTATACTATCATTTCTTACAACCAATAACCTAAATGTTAGAAAAATGATCCAAGTTTGAAAGTTTTCTCCAGCCAAGTTGAATTAACCCATCTGCAATTCAAAAATGAAGTTTGAGCCTCTTGAGTTCCAGGTTTTAACCAACAAAGCTAAAAACACCTTGCTTAAGAACTGAATTCCCAGGGGCTGGGGATTTAGCTCAGCGGCAAAAGCGCCTGCCTGGCAAGCGCAAGATCGTGAGTTCGGTCCCCGGTACCGGAGAAAAAAAAAAAAAACTGAATTCCCATACTCAAAGGAGACAGACAGCTGTTGCAAGCCAAATAAAATATAAAGATATAAAGATAAATATAAAGAAATCTTAAAAAAAAAACTAAGCAAAAATCTCACAGACAGTGGGACCCCAATTTCCCAGTACACACCCTATTAGTGTGCACACTTGTGGGACCACAACATGCTCTCATATTTATCTAGTTATGTTAAGATCATTTAAGTTTATACATCCATTATCTTGAACAGCAAATGCTGTCCAAGCTTACTAGGCACTGTGCTAGATATTTACATACATGTCAAAAGTCTCACTAGTAGGCTGTATTATCCAGACACACTGAATAAGCAATCAAAAGTGACTCATCCAAAGATACACAGCTACTGAGTTAAAGCTAGGACCCAAACCCAGGTTTGGTTCCAAAGCACATGCTCATTATACTATACTATATGGCACTTTCAAAGAATCACAGATTCTTGGATGTAAAAGGAACCCTATCATCATGACTACGTTTTATTAAAAATCTACAATGACTCAGGTGCTTCACTTGCCTTACCTCATCTTCTTACCCCAACCAATTAAGGAAAGTAACAGTACTCCCCTTTATGGATAAAGATATATCATCAGAGAACTGACTCATCCAAGACCAAAGACTAATACCTAAGATTTCAAGTAAGGTCTGCTTAATTCCAAATTGACACTTTTGACCACGACCTCAAATCAAAATGACCACTACGTACTCAACACTTCAATAGTGTGCCACTTTTACAGGAAACTGCAATAGGCTGAGTACAGTTTCAAGAAACTTACAGTGCCACTGAGCTTACAGAACTTCAGAACTAGAAAGACCCAGAGATCTGAGAGATGCACTCAGCTCCATTACTTTGCTGATGAAAAAGGTGAAACTCATAGATTGCGTATCATGCTTGAAAAAGGATTCAAAGTAATGGGGTTCAGCAGAAGAGCATTCCAGGTGAAGAGTATATCCTGAAGGAAAGCACAGGAGTCAAAACGAGGATAGTGTGCTTGAATTTTAACAATACTGATTAAATGTGGTATATAAATAAAAAGGAAGACCATTTCTACAAAGCTGTTTGTCCAAAGGACAGAGTTCTTTTTCAAAGCCTTTGAAAAAGTTTTTTTAAACAAACTGACCATTTTAATCAGATATGTATACACCTACTGTCATGTTTATCCTATTCGACCTTGTATTTCATATGGTTTGGTTTTTTTTTTTTTTTTTTGGTTTTTCTCCCGTACCGGAAACCGAACTCACGACCTTGCGCATGCCAGGCAGGCGCTTTTGCCGCTGAGCTAAATCCCCAGCCCCTTGTATTTCATATGTATCTCTGCTCTTCCAATGTGTTTTGCTGTCATCACTGTGTCTGTACCAGAAAATGGGAACAAGAATTTATTCATGTTTTAAAATCTTCTCACCCCAAAACTGACAAAAGCTTTTTCTTTTAAGTCTTTTTCACTCTCCAACCTTGGACACCCTGCCAATATCTAAAGGCAAGATTATGAAAATCTGCATAAAACTCAAGAGCTTAAACAAGTTTTTATTTTACTCCAAAGGGTACCAACTAAACAACAATTCTGCAAATACTGCAGCCTCAGGTAGTAATGAATTACAAAGTGTTGTGATAGCACTCATTAATATGATATATGAAGAAATTCTGGTCACAGACCAAAAACTGAGTTCAGCAGTCTGAGTTTCTATAAAGAAAACTTTAATAAATTCTTCTCAAGGTAACAATTTCAGAAGAAAAAATGTTTAAACACTTTCAATATTTATAAAGTTTATTTCCTAGTACAAACACTAAAAAGATTTTATACACTGAACTTACTGATGTTGGCTGTGTAATAACAGAGGAAGAAAAATATAAATTATTATAAAACTTTTCTTAAGTCAAAAGTGCTTTATTTACTAGGCTCAGGCATCACACTTCCAAGAATGTGAAGATCCAAATTCAGGGGCAGCAGAGTGTGTTACTGAAGTTAATGCTGGGATACTGACACCCTTGAGAAAAGTCAATGTTCAGTTTATGTATCAAGTGCATGCACAGGGCATAAAAATATTCTCTCCCACGTCCTGTCAGAACTGACTATATTACTTCTACCAGCCTGAAGAATTTCAAACCTGTCTCAACCCCTATCAAGCTTGCAGACGGGAGGCCTGAAACAACTGGACCTAGTCCAAAATGCAGGGACAGCAGGCCACAGGGAGGTGCCTGGGGGAGAAAGGTTATCAGATCAAAGTGAAAGAAGGTGAAGCCAAGACTGTGGACATGGGTGCAGGGGAGGGAGGGGTGCAGGGGTGTGAGTGTATGGGTGGGAGTATGTGTGTGTGTGTATCTGTGTGTGCGCGTGTGTGTATGAGTGCGTGTGTGAATGTGTGTGCGTGTGTGTGTGTGTGTGTGTGTGTGTGTGTGTGTGTGTTGGGGATTTTTAACAGAAGGATCAGGAGCGCATTAAATGGCATAATGCCAACAGAATAGAGCCTTAAAACGCCAATTCACCCTGAAAAAGAAAATGTTGGCTTGGCAAAGCAGAGTTTGGGTCCTGAACCCAGGAGGACTAAGAGACCCACTGCACAGATAGGTACAGTGAGGGATGGATTCCAAATAAAGTCCTGCAACTAGTGAGCAGGACCAGACTGTGAGTCCAGGGAGGGTGCAACGCAGCCCGACGTCCCCCAGCTGCCCAAGCACAGTGCCCAGCACCTGGAACGCCACCAGAAACTATCTCTGAGTGAATGTCCCGAGTCTTAAAACTCCGAAGTTCTTCCCAGAGACCTAGACTTCTGGCGGGACAGCACTGGAGACTCGGAAGAAAGTGACCAAGCCGAGCGGGTTCCCAGAAACGTCGGAGCGATGGGGTCCGAGTCCGAGTGCTCGCCCTCCGCCCGCCCACTGCACTCACCCGGATGCCCTTCACCACGGTGATGTTCTCGTTCTCATCCGCCTCGAAGGTGACACGGCGGGTGCTAGCCGTCCCGCCCATTGCTCCTGCCTCTGTCCCCGCAGAGTCCTATCGCGGACCCACGAGCACGTCAGGTCCCGCGCGCGCACACGCGCGTGGAGGACGGGACACTTCCCTTGCCCAGCGTGAGCAAGGCCGCGACCCCGAGGAGCAAGGAGAAGGCGCCGGTCCTAAATTCCCGCCTCCTCCGGTCACGTGCCAGAACAATACGCCTCCGGTTTGTCAAAAATGCCAAGGACCCGCCTCTACCCGGAGAGGGCACTCGGATTAGCTGGCCGGGACCCGGATGCTATGGCAACAGGTACTGTTTGACAAGGTTTCCGGAGCTCCTACGTGTAGTGGGAATTGTAGTCTCGGCGTGGCGCGATACGTTCAGAGGATTATAGTATTACTTTACTTGGAGCGCTCAAGAGGAGCAGGGCATTGTGGGAGTTGTAGTCTTCATGGCCCGAAAGATATAACTGGAGAACTTTCAAGGAAGCTCTTTTATCCAACAAGCATGCTTTGAAAACACTATCCTAACAATTTAAATTAGTGAATTAAGACATAATCTCTTCATGGACTTCACAGCTGAGTTATCCCCAGTGAAGTCATTTCTACATTCCCATGTGCAAATTCTTGACACAAAATTTAGCATTGCATTATTTTAGTATGAACGATTTTTAAAAAGTCATGTCTATGTCCCTGAACATAGGCCACTATGTACACTATTTGTTTTATATCTTTTTGTAAGTACAATTTTTAATGCAACAGTTTTCAAATCTCCATAGAAGAAACCAGGGGAGAAATGCATGTGTGTATTTATGTCCTAAGTTTCCATCTCCTTCCACTTCATTTACAAAACTAAGGGGTTTTTTTTGGGGGGGGGATGCTAATAGCTCCCTAATTATGGCATAAATCAGTGGAGGAATTGAAGCTGTATCTGACAAAGTTGAGATAATCTAGTTTGGAAAGTTTTTAGTTCAGTATTTCACCTCTACAAGACCAAAATTATTTTTAGGTTATCCATGTACATATTTAATTATTTTTTGCTAACCACTCTGTTGTACCTAAGTTTAGCCATAAACTTACAGAGGCAAATGTAGTTTTTTTAGAAATTAAATGAGTGGGGCTAGGGATATAGCTCAGTGATAGCATACATCAGGCCCTAGTTTCAAACTCCAGCACTGCTGAAAGACCAAAAAATTAGGTGAATAATGATATTATTTTCATTTATTCCTTTTCAGCATTAGAAGCAGTGGAAGACAAGGCACCATGGTATCCTCTTAGGCCAAAGGGATCCACAGCAGTGCAGTAGCATTTTTGAGTTTCACTTATATGCTAACCTATTACTATAATTTTTAAGGCAGGAACTAAGTCTTTCCTCTCTATATACCCAACTATAACAGAGGTTGCTTACATCTCATCATTTTGTTCTGTTCAACACATATGCATCTAAATTATACTGTTATTTTGCAGTTTTGAGCCTACATGCTACTCTATACTTTTCAAATTATGTAATATGTATAAATCTTTCCTCTACAGGGAACTAAAAATCCCAAGGATTGTCTTTTATTTCTTTGGGACATCCCCCTCCACAAACTTTCCCCAATACATAACATATATTAGAGGTTTTTCATGTAACAGATACTTAATAAATGCTTACCACAATTTTTCTTACAATGGATTTCATGGAGAGAGTAGACAGGTAATAGGCTCACTCATTATCTTGAGTATTCTTAATGCCTTAGAATATCAAATGTTTCTTTCAATCAAATATATTAAAGATGATCTAAGCAAGAGAAGGAAGTAGGATGCCTTCACTTTTTACAACACAAACACATGTGCATGGTCTTATTGAGCAGACAACCTAAAAATAGTTTGGAATTCCTAACCAACTTCAAACAACAACATTATGAAGTGAGCCAGGAAAGAAGTAAAACTCTATTCATACATGATGTGATCTTATAAATACAAAAATCCTAAGGAATCCATTAAAAAAAATTAGATCTATTTTTTTGAAAAGTTGAGAAAGGTTGCACCATACAAGATCAAAATTAAAAACACAGTTGTATATCTATACAGTAGCAATCAGCAAGCCAAAAATAAAAAGAAGAAAACAATTCCATCTGTAAAAAAGCATCACAACACCATTAATGTCCATTGATTGGTAAATGGATAAGCACAATGCAGTATATCCAGACAATGGAATATAATTACATAGTAAAAGGAAGTAAAGTACTGACATATGTTACATATAGATGAGCCTCAATATTATTTCCCAACCTAAAACATTATGCCAAGTGAAAGAAGCCAGACACAGAAGACTACATATGATTCCATTTAAATGAAATGTGCAGAACAAACAAACCTACAGAAAGCAAAAGTAGATCAGGCTCGAAAGCCCTCAGAAGGGATGAGATAGGGACTGATTTCTAACTAGTACAACATTCTTTTTAGAGGAATGATTAACATGTCCTAAAATTAGTTCAAGCCAATGCTTGACAACTCTATAAATATACTAAAACTCGCTAAATTGTACATTTAAAATGGAAGAACTTTATGTTATATAAATTGCATACCAATAAAGCTCTTATAGAATGTATAGTTACTCAAACAGGGCAGAAATTAAATTATCATTGAATAAAATCCAAAACAGTCTTTTTAAATGGAAACAGAAAAGCTGGGGATGTAGATTGGTAGCAGAGCACTTGCCTGGCATATGTAAACCACGGTGTTCAATCCTCAACACTGCAAAGAAAAAGAAAAATAAAGGAAGAAAAGTAAAGAAACTGTGAGAATCATTGAGCAATGAAATAAAAACCTTCAAAAGAAAGACTAGCATGAAACAGAACATTGAGAATTAGGTTAGTCCCACAAGTACAGACCACTGCAATGAAGACCCATGGCTTCAGAAGCTTCTAGAATTACTTCAGCTTCTGAAAGGCCTTCCAAGGCAGTGTTTAATGGCTGGCTCTCTCAAAGCTTCTGGCCTTTCTGAGCTCAATTATGCTATCATTTCTAAGTTCTGAAACACACACAGCCTCACCAAAAAAACCTTCCTCATCCTGAGAGCTAACAGATGTCAGTAACAAAATCAGAACATAATATTTTCTTCAGTAGCCACCCAAGAAATAAACACACCAAGTAAGATAATGGATATCAACAGTTTCCTCTGACACACAGAAGACTCAGTAATACCTTGGTTCTCCACAAATCATAGCTTGACTATCAAGCAGTATTATCCTCCCTCCAACTTCTTCATTTTGTGTCATTTCTTACTTTCCTACCACATCAAACCTTTGGAATGAATGCTGAAATGGGGAGAGAAGGAAGGAGACAACTTGAAGGAGGAGGAGGGAAGGAATGAAGTTCCAATCATCCCTAAATAACCCTCCTTGAAAAAAAACCACCTAGACTTCCAAATCAAAAGTCCCAGGTGGGAAGATTTGCCTTATATTCTCTGATTTTCAAATCCCTACTTTAAACAAAATGTAACTAAACCAAAATCCTGGTAACCCTGCTTCAACCATTCCTTCATATACTCACCTGGCTGTCCCTGGTATACTGGATAGGAGTATAGGAAGAAATGGATGAGAAGGAGAGGAAAAGAAAGAACAATACAAACCAGAGTGCTGTGGCACACACTTGTAACCCCAGCACTCTGAGAGGCTGAGACAGGAGGATCATAAGTTCAAGCCCAGCCTGGGAAACTTTGTAGTTTAGAGAGACCCTCTATCAAAATAAAGAAAAGTTGGGGAGGGGGTTGTAGCTAAGTGTGAAGGGGATCAATCCCCAGTACAACAGAGAGAGAGAGAAGGGGGGGAGAAAGAAGAGGAAGGAGGAGGAGGAGGAGGAGGAGGGAGGAGGAGAAGGAGAAGGAAAAGGAGAAGGAGAAGGAGAAGAAGGAGAAGGAGGAGGAGGGAGGAGGAGAAGGAGAAGGAGAAGAAGGAGAAGAAGGAGAAGAAGGGGGAGAAGGGGGAGAAGGGGGAGAAGGGGGAGAAAGGGGAGAAGGAGAAGGAGAAGGAGAAGGAGAAGAAGGAGAAGGAGAAGGAGAAGGAGAAGGAGAAGAGGAGAGACCAATACATGAGGCTCCAGGCAGAAGATACCTGTTCCTGGTCCCCATCCAGAGAAGCTAATCCTGCGTTCATCACAACACAAGAGCCTTCTCTCCAGCTTACCCGAGTAGCATTTCAGCTGCACAGTTCACCACTTGGATACTATGACCAGTGATGAGACCAATATAGATATGACAATCATATTTTCTGAGCTAAAAATTGAAGCAATTTCTCTCACTATTATTTGTGTACTTACAGAAACAATTAAATTAGTCCTCCAAATCAGGTTCATCCTAGAAAATCTAGGCCATATAGTTGCCATAGTTATAGCAAACCAATTAAAATCACTGAAAAATGCCTATTGCATAGTGCTGTCAATATGAGCACATTCTGAAAATATGGACTAAGACATTCCAAAGCCACTACAGAACACCAGTTTTAAAGCTTTTCCCATTAATTACCAGGCATCACATAATGTAAAAACAACAAAGCTCTAAAACAGTCCCTCTCACTATGTGCATGTGTGTGCATGCATAAGTGCTTCTGTGACATATTTTGAATACAAGAATTTTGAGCAGCACACATGAAGAGATTAAAAACTCAAAATAGCATAAAACAAGCCAGCAATAATTAGAGGCATTTACAAGCACAGAATGAAGATGTATCTTTGGGCAGGTAACAAAATATTCTTAGTAGTAACACAAAGCACTCCCCTGGAAATACCACATCACTGGTAAACACTGATCACTGCACTACCCTGGCATCTAGTGAAATCATAAGGCAGAAGCTCCCCCATGTCAGAAACCTCTCCAACTGTCTCTGGGTTCCACTTAATAGTACCTGTACTACCAATTTGCTGTTCACAGTAAATTGTGTATGCTGTACCATATCATCTTGTAGGATGGGCTCTGGTAACCATGCTGCTGAAGGGACATCACTTAACACTATCCAGTTAAAATAAATCTTACACATGGCTCATAACTTGGCAATGCACCAGGAAGATTTCCTGGTACCTCCAGTATAAAGTTTATTGTAGAGTAAATCCTCACCAAATGTACAGCAGTTCCTAAAAGGTCATTCCCTATCATTTCCTGGACTTCCTTCTATTTTATTTTTTTCATCTTTATGGGTTTTCTTTGACACCTCAT